CATCCAGAAATCCAACACATCCAAAAATCAAAAACATAAAAAAAAACACTTATCCCCTTAGAATCTGAAACGTCCTTGTACCTTGTTACCCTTCAAAACCAGTAGGAAGAACCTCACCCTTGTTCTTCTCTTTCGAATCCAGTATCCAAGGTATAACCCCTGGTTCCTCCCTTCGAATCCAGAAGCATTCAAAGAAACAACTTAAAGGCCCATCACACGCTCCACCCCCAAGCAAGGTAAGTCATTATTAACCTTGAACCCCTTTATTTCTAGCATAACATGTACATAACACGTTGTTTCTGTTCATTTCCACCTACTTGATATTGTTTTCAGAGCTAACCCCCTTTCGTTTTGCTGTTTATTTACTTAATTATGCACTAAGTGTTAACTGATTGTAAGACAATATTAGCATGGCCTTATGCCATGTTGCTGTTCAAAAAAGTTCGAACAGGAAACAGGAAACAGGAAACAGGAAATAGGAAATAGGACGAAGCCTCTGGATTCTACTTTCTTTCTTCAGGTCAAACAAAAGAGAACCAGAAGGCTTCGCCATGTTGACTTCTGGGCCCAAACGAAAAGCTTGCCTTCACTGACTTCTAGGCTCAGTCGAAAGGCATTCTCTCATTGTTTTCAGTCTCCAATCGAAGGAGGCAGAAAGGCAGATGGCACGCTTGCACTAAGTCCAGACTCAGACGAAGGACCCTTTCATGCTGGTGTCAGCCCCCAATCGAAGTATAGGACCTTGCTGCTGCCTTTGCCCAATCGAAGTACATGACCTTGCTGCTGCCTTTGCCCAATCAAAGGACAGGACATCGCCTCTGCCAGGGCCCAATCGAAGGACGTGACTCTGCTGTTGCCAGCCCCAGTCGAAGGAGGCCAACAGAATGCCATTCGAAGGCTGCTCTTGCCAGAATCGAAAGACATCTTTTTTTTACTTTTTTTTTCATTTTTTATGTTGTTTGATACAGTTGTAATAGCGTAGGATTTTATGTTTCTGCATTTTATTTACTTTGCGCAAATGCTAGTAATTAGGCAAGATAAAAATCAACAAATAAACAAACCAATCAAAAATCCAAAAAACACTTTTTAATCACTACTTGAATTTATTTTAAAACCCACAAAAACACTCAACAAATCAAAAAACTCCCCCAAAGGGCATGTTATCTCCGTTCTATCGCGATACCGGCCGTGCCTATTGCTAGAACGCGTGCATTAACGTCGCCCACTAAAAAACACAAACAAACCAACCATTTTCTAGGAGGAACTACGGTGTTCTGATTCCTTCATTGGATACGTAGGCAAAGGGTCGCGAAACCCTCACGAACGCAATAATAAAAAATCCATCCATTTCCCTTTAACAAGCATAGTTGTAGATAAACACACCCTTTAAGAGAAACGAACAAAATGAATCCCGTTGAGTACAACGGATGCGAGGGGTGCTAATACCTTCCCCTCGCATAACCGACTCCCTTACCCTTTCTCTTGGTCGCAAGATCATCCTATCCATTCCCCTTGTGGTTTTATCGATATTTCTCATTCCTTCGGGATAAATAAAGTTTGGTGGCGGCTCTGTGTTTTCTGCCGGCGGTTTCAAAGTGTAGCTTTCATTTTTCTCCCTTCAAATTATATTCTAACTTCAAATCTAGATCTTCAAATTTTAATCCAACAATCATAATTTTTTTAACTATCTTAATTTATGTGTTAGTATGACTCTTACATTAGAGAATCCAAGTTTCCATAATTCTATTGACCCATAAATACTTTATGTAATATGTCTCTTTTCTCTAGAATTTTTTTCACTATATAAACTATTTCTTTATCAATTTTTAATCACCAATTTTAATAAAACATTTCATCCTTGTGTCTCGTCCGTGACTCTTGTCTAAAAACCAACTTTTCACAATAATAATCGCAATGGTAATGTATACACATTTCAATTACAATGCTTTTTTCTCTCATTCAATACATGCAATATTTGTTGTGAGATTTACACAAACACCTTACATGCAAAAACCACATGCCACACAAAACACATCATAATGTAACACTAAATCAACACTAAAACAACACTATCAACACTATCAATTAAACCAAACGCAACATTATATATCAACATTATCAAATATATCAAAAATCATACCTAGAGGAGAAGAGAACCTTGGTTGTGAATGGAAGAAAGGATGCAACGGTCTTGAATGAAAGAATGATGAGAATCTTGAAAAAAGGATGCAACGATTTTGTCAATAATCAAACGAAAAATGGTGTTAAAGTGGGTTTTGTTCGTAAGTACTGTATTCTGTAAAATGGGTTTTGCAAATAATAACGTGTTACTGTGTTTGATGTTGGGCGTGTGTTTTATTTTTTTTTATAACATGATATTAGGCAGCGTTTGTAGTAGAAAGCACTGCTTAATCTCCCCTTTAGGCAGCGCTTTAGCAAAGTACTACAGTGCCTACCCCCTTTAACAGCGCTTTATAAATTCACATTAACCCCCTTTAGGCAGCGCTTTCACAAAGCGCTGCTTAAGCCCACCCTTTAGGCAGTGCTTCTGAAAAGCAAAAGCGCTTTGTAAGCACACCCTTTAGGCAGCACTTCAGGACCTACCCCCTTTAGCAGTGCTTTATCAAACAATATTCACCCTCTTTAGACAGCGTTTTTCTAGAAAGCGCTATCTAAGGCATAAGACAAAATTTCCGTGTTTTTAAAATACACTTTTAACAGCGATTTTGATAAGAAATACTGCCTTAAATGTGCTGTCTAATCTTATTTTTGGCATAGTAGAATAAGGCGAATACTACATTTTTAAAAACTAAAAATTACAACAAAAAAATATAAATATTTATGCCCGCAAAAAATAGAGTAGAATAGAACAAATACAAACCTAAAATCTTAATTCGTTCAGAAAAAAAATCAGTAAAACAAATATATCTAGCAGAGCGGACTTGTACCCCCTTATTAAAAGTGTCGCATGAAATAATATAAGAGTGGAACATATAATTGTATAATTATAAGTTAGTGCTATCTTCTTCTTATGAGTTGGTTTTTGATAAAGTTAAGTAAACAAACTCAAATGTTAAAGAGTTTCACGGCATGAAGTTGACTGTGTGATCCAAACTCGTTTATCTCAATGAATTCATACGATATAATCATATTGTGATCTCCTAGAGTACTTACATAGCTGTCTTTATATTATGAACTTACGCGTCTTATAAAATGAGTTTAAACGGAGTCAAGTTTAGTTGACTTTATGCTTTCTTTCAATTAAAAGTTGTCACCAAACATATAATTTATTACATCTTTCACATATATTTATAAGTAACAAAAATAATTTTCAAAATTATTAAGAAATTCAATTAAATATAGTTAAGTTTATAAATGTAACCGAAAGATATATTATACGTACTTAGAAAGTCCTTGTTACAGTCCTATTTGCCACCTTAACACAAAAATTGAACCTTGAAAATGGAGCCTAAGGTAGGTGAAAAGTATAATACCTTTCGAACAAGTTAATTCTGATGATTGGTCACGAAAATAAGAGTTGGAATTAAAACTGATGTGGCCAAGACCTTTCTAGAGGTCCATAAAGAATGGCAATTAGATAGCTATATAAGGTCCCACCTAGGATGGTAAGTTGCCTTGGTGAGTTGTCTTAAACACATACAGAGCGGCAAATAGCGGCACATCAAACACCGACCATCACCACCTTTTGGAGTCGTCTATGGAGTAGGTGACTTCAAAGTGCCCTCATTTGAAAGTAAACAACTTATTAAATGCTCTTAAACAATTTAACTTTTATCATATAAATAGATACGTATTTGTTGTATCAAAATTAAACTTTATAACGAAATTATACAAGGCACCTTAATTACAAGTACATGTTCTTTTCTTTTGGTGGGTTATTATAAGTACATGATTTAGTGGTCCACCGTCCAATTCATAAAATAGGACAGTGAAAAAAGATGGAGTTATGAATTGTATCAACCACTACCACGCCACTCTCCTCAAATATTAAACACAACAAACCAACATTTGCTTTTAGATGTCAAACATCCATAAAAATGCCATCAACTTAAATGCTATAACCAACTTATTTCCAATCCCAAGACCCAGTCACACCTCTTTCAACCTCTGCTCAATGCACATTTGACAATTCCATCTCAACACAGCATCACTTATCTATTATTCATTTACATTACTATATGTGCGTGCGTTTGGATTCACAATGAATTTGAAAGAATTAAGCTATTATCTTGAAGCTACAAGTGTAGCTTGATTTTGCTAAATATCTACTCAGTTTCATACAGAAAGTACATAAAAGCAAACACTAAAAATTGAAAAAATTGGAACTGAACTTTTATTGATTGAATGGTCAAGACAGAAAGAAAAAAAAAAGAAACAAAAACATTTTCATCCTCCTTTTGCTAGGGTACCCCAGCCACCACTTTACCTATCTCTTCCCTCAAAGGATTCCACTGTCTAGTGTATATATCATCACATATATACATGTACGGAATACAGATCCTTCTCTAACTAAGCATAACACCTTCACCTCCCTTATGTCTATATTTCTATATATTTTTTTATCTTAAAATGTAATTCAAAAACTCATAGTCAAATCAATTGTACAGACAATACCATTTTCTAAGAACATCACCTTAAAGAAATAAACTGGGGATACAAGAAAATTGATCAAGGGAGTTGGAAAGAAACATTGGAACATATATGGAACCAAAGAGGAATTGAGGAATGAATGAATAAAATGAAAACTCTAATAGGAACATGACTACTAATCTCTAAGGTTCCAACTGCATTCAATGATGCTAACAAGATTATTGTCTGGTTTTTTTTACTATGTCACAGGTATCGGGTGGTGGTTGTTTTATGATGGGATCAAAAGACTGAAAGAACTGTAGGGATTGAAAGTTTAAGTGGCAGTTTGAGGACCGTGAGAAGGAAAAATGAAGATGACAAGAGAGATGTATTACAAATCATGATGAATTCTAAAGGCTGTAATGCTTGACAGACTGCTCCAACACGTCGCGACTAGGGCTTACGATTACCTTCATTTGGTTTCCATTTTTGTATATCTTGAAGGTTGGTACAAATCTAACATTCTCAGCAGTTGCAACTGTCGCGTTTTCATAAATGTCCACCTATGATCAAAGAAAAAAAATGCAAGCATTAGGCAAGTTATGTATCCCTCATTTATAGCAAAACTGAAGTAAACAGCACGCGCTATTTGGATTCATCGCGAGTTAGCCAAAATCACTGCGGCATCGTGATTTTTTTGAAACTAAAAAGGGTAACTTCTGATAAAGTCAAAGGGGCACACTGTGATTCTAACAGCAAATCCAAATACACGTAAAGTCAAAATCACTACCTTGAGGAAGTTAACATATGGATATTTGGCACATAATGTATCCAAAAATGGCGATAATTGCCTGCATTTCGAGTTTGATGCACCTTCAAAATGGACAACAGAAACACCTGCAAAATTAACAAATAATAACATCAGGAGACTTGAAAAAAATAGACTAAAATGAGTTGCAGAAGAATCCTTTTTAAACATTTGAGGTTTAAGCAGGGAAAAATTAAGAGATACGAAAAATAAAAAATAGAAGGTTTTGTTTTGAAAAGAAAAAAACAAACTTAACTTTTTAAAAAGTTAATGCACAATTTACACAGTAAATTTTCTGCATTTGGTTTCTTAACTTGTGCCTTAGGGTACAAGTTAGCATTTTCCAACATTTTAATTACCTGATGAAGATATTGCAGTTCTAAACTGCTCAAGACCTGATACTCGTTCCACTTCACCACCAAACTTCAAATTAGTAACTTCTTCTCCACGAGATTTTTTGAGTGAAATATTTGCATGAAAAAGAGCTTCAGCAACATCATTGTCATTTGGAAGTTCTTTTCGCAAGACCTCGTAATCTTTAACCGCTTCTTCCCACTTTTCTAGCTGCATTTAAAAAAGGAGATTAAGAAAATGAAGTCTCTAAACTTCTTCACAGCAGTACTATCATAAAAACCAGCAAAGCCAATTTACCTTGTTATATGATGTAGCCCTTCGAAGAAGAGCTTTTGTATAATTTGGTCGGTAAAGTAAAGCTTGGTTAGAGTCTTCAATTGATTTTTGCCATTGACCAATCTTATACCAACATGCTGCTCTATTGCAATACAGAACAGAATTTGAAGGGTCCACTCTCAAACCATCTCCATATGCCGAGCAAGCTTCAGTGAACCGGTCAGATTTGAAAAGATCATTGCCACGAGTTCGAGCTCTTGCCACTTTCCTTATTTTGTTAAGCAAAACAGCAATTTCAACATTTTGGGGATCAATATGATTTGCCTTCTCAGCAGATGTAACCGCATTCTCAAACCTGCAATACATCAATCATTGATTATTCACACTCCAACAGAAAACATTTGACACCTTATAATTTTCCAACGAAGGTTAGTAATACTAATAGTGTCGTGTCTAAACTCACCTTCCCAATGCCATCTCTATCTGACATCTGACATAGAAGGAATAAGCTTCAGCAAACATCCCAAAAAATGTTGCTTCAAAAGGTGAATGATTAATTTCTGGATCCGATTTCGGAGCATGTGACAAAACTGATTCTGCATCATCAATTTGATGAAGTTTCAAAAGGGCTTCTGCTCTACACATAAAGAGCTGTACATTCAATTTCCAACAAAGTTCAGATATTTCATTTCACACATTTCCATTTATAACATATTCAATTCAATAATATCGCATCGAGGAGAAAAAAACAGCAATAATACCTGAGGAGAAGAATCAGCTCCAGCAGTAGAAGCACTATCAAGTTCCCTCAGAACACTATTCCAATCCCCTGACCTCCTAACATCTATACACTTACTAATATGCTTATCCACCAGTTGCAACTTGAGCATCTCGGTCGGATTCGGAGTCAATCTAGGATGACAAAGATGTCTCCTAGCATTCTCAACTTGCCCTAACCTGTGACACCACCACTTGTATAATCAACACCATTCCGTAAACGCATCATCAATGAATGCAAATTCAATCAAATCATCAATCTTCACAATGCCATCCAAATTAACAAGTAAAAGATTCAGATTTCAATTCCAACAGAAGCAAAACAACAAACACAAAACACTAAACTTCAAAATTACATCAAAACTAACACAAAACACTAACAAGATAATTCAAGATCCACAAAACTGTTAAAGAATCAATGATTACTCACTCACCTTATGAATAGAGAAGCCAATCGATGATGAGCCCTATCATAATCAGGATCGCAATAAAGTGCCTGCTGACATTCCCTCACAGCTTCAGACAATCTACCCAAACCGATCAACGCGGCGGCGCGGTTGCTCCGGTAAGATGCACTTCTCGGCAAAACAGCAACAGCACGGTCATAAAAACTCAACGCCTCAGCAAATTGACCGTTCTTGTAATGCTCATTCCCTACTAACTTGAGCTGTTCCGGATCCACACTCTCCACCCCTCTTTTCCCCGAATCACTCCGAATGCCGCCTCTAACGCTACTAGTATCAACTCTCCCGGCGCCGGCGCGCATTATACTACCGTGGCCATAGTTCCCAGTTCCATAACCAAGAACATCACTCTTTGTATTCTTGTTCTCCATGCCGGTGTTCACGACCTTTCCAGAAGGACAAATATTCCCGGCGGGAAGAACAGGCACCGGCGGAGAGTTCACAGTTTGACCAGAACCAGAATGTGTCTTCGGAGAATGTATCTTCGGAGAATGTGTCTTCGGAGAATGTATCTTCGGAGAATGTGTCTTCGGAGAATGTATCTTCGGAGAATGTATCTTCGGAGAATGTGACTTCGGAGTCGCTCCGGATCCTGAATTGGATCTCGAATCGCCCGCTTTCGGTTTCAAACCTCTCACATTCCCTCCGGATCTATTAGCCGTCGGACTGTTCTCACTCGAACCAGAAAGCTCGCCAGAGTTACTGCTATGAATCGGCGCCGAAGTCGACTTCTTCGAAACCGGTATAGACCCGGTCTTATTACCAGAGAAAGATCCAGAAGAACCCGAACTACTACTAACCGTCGGTCCTCCCCGCCTCAATGGCGAAACTGGTGAACCATGATCGAGTTCACGAATATCCGGTTTATTCGCTTTCGCTTTCGCTTTCGCTTTCGCGTTCGTTACTAAACTCACCACTTCACGAAACCGATCGGCGATTTTACCCGACCCGGTGGAATCGGGTTTGGAATTTCCCGGCGAACGCGACATTTTCTTCAAGAAAGGTTGTTGAAAGATTCAATCAGAGAGAGAGAAAGAAACTGTAACTAACTTTCTCTCTCTAAAACACAGTGTTGTTTGAGTGTTAACAATGTGTTTGAATGAAAGTAGAGTGACTAGTGAAAAATGGGTTTGTTGAAGAAGACATGAAGGTTTAGAGAGAGAAAGTGATGGGGATCTCGTGATATAAAAGGAGTGTTGTTGGAAGAGTTAGAGAGAGAAAGCTTTCTTTTTAGAGAGAGAAAGTACAATGTAGAGAGAGAAAGAAGAAGGAAGAAGAGAAATGGAGAAAAAGACTGAGCTTTTATTTTCTTTCTCAACCTGCTGCTTCACGAGACATATTTCTTGATTCTTTTTTTCTTTTTTTCTTTATTTAACTTTAATTAATTTTTATTATTCGGTAATTTTATAAATATTTCTTGATTATTTTAATTTTTCAATTATTTCTTTTTGTTTTTTCTTGCAGTGTGAACAGTTAATGTTTCTTTTTTTTTCTTTCGGTAGACTATAGTATTGTTATTAATTTTCTATTCAAACTCTATAATAATAATAATAATAATTTTTTTTATTGTTGAACAAGTGTTATCCACATTCTAAACTCAACCTTGTGGGTAAAGCCAATTTTCTCATTCTCTCTTATTTCTTAATTTCTCTATCCACTTGTCATTTTTCTTTTTAATTATTTTAACAAAGTAGATAAACTCTTCTTTTATTTTAATTTTAATTTTTATTTTTTATAATAACAAATTAATGCATTTTATACACTCAATGAATTTTTATTTTCTTGCGCCCCACAATAAATACTCATTTATTATTTTTTACCTTAAAAAAATACTACTCATTAATTTCCTAAGATATGAAAATACATGCTGAAGGTCCATTGCTTCTAAATATTCCTCTTAAATTACAAAAACAAAATTTTTAAAAACCTTTCATTTATTGTTAAAAATAAAGAAAATAGAAAAATGGGAAATTATTATTTTTAATATAGTTTCAATTTTCACACTGTGGTTCAATATAAGTATATGCTTTTTTTTTTTGTTAGAGGAAATAAAATATATACCATGCTTGGGAACAAGTTAATGTATATGCGGTGAAAAGGAAAATGACACGGTCACACAAGAATCTTTTGATAAAACAATGGCGATTATTTCTAATACTAGTATTAATTAATGAATTAGTAATAATAATCCACCTAGGTTGCTAAATTTTATGAATAGGGTGATTCATAGAGTAGTTCTAGAAGAGCTAAATAGATTTTATCCACAATCGAACTGCGATAACAAAAACATCTTGATTATAATATTTTTTACGTTTAGCGGAAAAATTCTTAAATTATTATTAACAAATCAAATCTAAACTTTTGAAATAAAAATACAATATATATATATATATATATATATATATATATATATATTTTGGATAATTTATTCAACACCCAATAAGAGTTAACTAGAAAATAAATTTACAAATTAAATAAAATATATTTGTGTTGTTACAACCTAATACGTTGGTTCACAAAACAGTTTATTTGAATACAATGGATACCAATTTCAAATTTAAGTGTGATAAATATTTATTGGATGTTGATAAATTACTAACAAATTTTCAAAAACAACATATATCTCATTTTAAAAATATTTAGTTGATTAATTAGTTTGTTAAAGTTTGTTTTAAATTAGTTAGTTAGTTATAAATTATAGTAGTTAGTTTGTTATAGATTAGTTAGTTTGTTAAAGTTTGTTATAAATTAGTTAGTTAATTTGTTACTTATTTGAAGTTTGTTATACATTAGTTAGTTGCTTAGTTGAAGTTTGTTATACACTAGTTAGTTGCTTAGTTGAAGTTTGTTATACACTAGTTAGTTAGTTATTTAGTTGAAGTTTGTTACACATTAATTAATTAGTTTGTTTGTTATAAATTAGTTAATTTATTAGTGTTCACAAACTCTAACTATTTCATGTAATTATTTATTATATTTTTTTATTTTAACTTAAATAAAGTCTAATAATTTTTAACTTTTCCTTTATTTTAAGTTTCAAAATTTACTTCTCATCTAAAATTGATATTTATTGTTTTATTTTATAATAATAATGATTTGAAGAAAATAGACAAACAAACACAATTCATGCTAGCATTTACTCCCTCCTTCTATTACTCTAACATTCTTTGGAGATTTTATTTATCCTTAAATTAAATAAGACTTTATATAAGTTTCTAAATTCAATTATTACTCTAACATATTCGTGATATCATTTCCACCTATTAATATAATATAAAAATTAACTAAAAAACAAAACAATATTTATCCAAAATGATGTCAAAATAGCAATTCTCTGAAATTTCCAATGGAATTGCATTGCATTGCCACCATGATAGTCCAAAATGAGAGAAAGAAAACTCACACACTCCCTCCAAACAAAGTAGCCCCACACCACGTGGCAAACAATAACTGGTTGTGGGACCCACATTAACATCAAAATCAACCCTAACATTAGTAGCAGAAACCAGCTAAGACCAACCTACAAAATACAAATCCCTCTCTCAATCACCCCTTTACCAACATCCATTGTTTCTTAATTCTTCACTCCAAAATTTTAAAACTCATTCATTATTATGAAATTTAGAAAAATCCCATTACACATCACAAATTATTACTAATAACTTCAAAATTGAAACCATTGTAGAGACCACACTCTCAAAATGGAGCCCAACTACATCTCACTTACAACACTACAAAAACACATCGCATTTCTCCTTTTCACTTTCTTTTCCTCCACTATCATTTATTTATACATTAAAAATAAATAATATAATGTGTCAATTATATTGTATTTGTATTATTATATGTATTCTTTGAATTTTTCTCAATCTCAGTTTCACTCATCCAAGATTCCTAAATTCTTTTTTACTTTTTTTCACTTCCTCGCGCAAACAAGAAGAAGCTGTAGCATCATTGAGTCAAAGCTTTTATTGTAGTGTAATAGTGTTATTGCCATTATACATACCCTTTCTAGTTTTGAGATCTAGGACGAGTAATAGTAGTAATAGATAGTTGTCACATAAATACACTCTCTCAAGTACAACAAGTAATTTAAAACTTGAAATATTAGTAATTTTTAATTATAAAACTTTAGTTAAAATATATTTTTTATCATTATATTTTTTTTTATCAAAAGTTATATTAATCTTTTATTTTATTTTTATTCCTTTTGATCTTTTATATTTTTACAATTTTATATAAATTTGTAATTCAGATATTTATTGATTGAGTTGGTTATTTCTTTTATAAGCAAATTTCATTAATACAATATAAAGAATATTCTTGGTCGTTACATCATAAATTCAACTCATATTAAGATAATTTAAATGAGCTATACATCACTCATAAAAGTTTATACTCTATCTGTCTCATAATAGATGTTCTCTTTGAGATTTTCACACTTTTTAAGAAGGGTCAAGTGAAGTGAAGAACAATGAAAATGTGGAAGGAGAGAGGTGGATCACTGTCAGAAATTCTCCTAGAAATAAAGGTAAAACTACTCAAACGGGTCCTAATAATCATGTTATGTGCACTAATGAATTTAGGGTTCTTGAGGTTTTGAATGACCCTTTTGTAACCAGCAATTCTGATTCATGTTCATGGAACATTAGGGGCCTTAACAAAGTAGGCAAAATAAGGGAGATTAGGTCCCATCTCCTTAATCTCAAGCATGCTATTATTATATTGATTGAGACTAGAGTAAAAGAAGCCAAGGCTAAGAATGTTAGAGACAAACTCCAAATATATGATTATTATATTGACAACTATAAGGATCAATTAAATGGTAGAATTTGGCTGCTTTGGGATAGAAATAGGTTAGGTGTCAAAATGGTGCAAAGTTCTAGCCAATTTATTCATTGTGGGGTCTATGACACCATTGGAGGATTTAAATTTTGGCTTACTGCAGTTTATGCTCATAATCAGCTAACTAAAAGAAGAATTCTTTAGAAGGAGATTGAGTTTTTGTATGGCAATTTACAAAGGCCTTGGTGTGTTATAGGAAACTTCAACAATGTTGCTAAAGCCCAGGATAGAGTGGGAGGCAAAATGGTTACAGAAAGTGAATATGAGGATCTACAAAATATGATGATGGCAACAAGATTAAGTGAAATTGATAGCTTAGGAGACTACTATACATGGTCTAACAAGCATGATGTTGGAGCAATCTATTCTAGAATTGACAGGGGCCTTAGGAATACTGTTTGGTTCAACAACTATATTGACAATAATATAAGGATCCTTCCACCCCATATTTTAGATCATGCTCTGCTTCTCATTGATAGTAAAGAAGGTCGGAAGAATATAAAGAAGCATTTTAAGTTCAACAATTGTTTGGTGGACCTCCCTGGCTATGATGATGTGGTTCAAAAGAGTTGGGGAAAACCTATAAAGGGGAAACCAATGTACATCTTATGGCACAAGCTCAGAAGATTGAAGCAGGACCTGAGAAATTTCAGCAAACCTTTATCTGATGTGAATAAAAAACTGAAGGAAGCAAGAAGCAACCTTGCTAGTTCTCAAAAGGATGTTGTGGGTAATAGGATGCACAACCTTTCTATTGATATAATCAAGATTTTGACTGAGGAAGTTATAACCCTTAATGATCTTGAAGAGAAAATCTTGACGCCGAGGGAAAAAATAGATTGGTTGAAGAAACGAGATGGAAACACCTCTTATTTTTATGCCTCTATCAAAGCCAAACACCACACCAACAGTTTAAACAACCTAATGAAAAGTGATGGGTCTATAACATAGAATCAATAAGAGATTGACCAAGAGGTCCTTGAGTTTTATAGTAATCTCATGGGCAAAGAGGAGAGCAATCTCACCCATGTGGACATAGAGGCTATGAGGATGGGGAATCAATTGAAGAGAGAGCAAAGGGAATATTTAATTATCAAAGTGACTAATACAGATATAGAGAAAGCTTTAAAGGGGATATGTGACT